CACACACACACACACACACACACACACACACACACACACGTTTTTGATTTAGTTGTATTTCACCTCACATGATTTTGGGAGGGGATTCCATTTGCATGGAGCATCTTATTGCATTTCTTTTTCTTTTTCTTTTTTTTTTTTTTTTTTTGGTTTTTCGAGACAGGGTTTCTCTGTGTAGCCCTGGCTGTCCTGGAACTCATTCTGTAGACCAGGCTGACCTTGAACTCAGAAATCCGCCTGTCTCTGCCTCCCAAGTGCTGGGATTAAAGGCATGTGCCACCACTGCCCGGCATCTTATTGCATTTCTTCACACTCAGTATATCTTGTTCTGTTTTGGCACTTAATTTACTGGTATATATATATTCAGTAAATATATATATGTGTGTATATGTGTGTATATGTATGTGTATATGTGTGTATATATATGTATGTATGTTCACGTGTGCTATGGTATGCATATGGAGGTCAGAGGACAACTTGTGTAGTCAGTTCTCTACTACTTGTGGGAATCTTTCTGGAATAAACATGAGAGTGGAGAAGAGATGTCACCAGTGGATCAATGGCAGGACAGCTCCTGAAAGTCTTCGATCCTGGATCCAGTTTGCATTCTCATTTTATATTCGAAAACCACAAGGTGGGCCAGGCAAGCAAGCAATATTTTACAGAGTGTATGTTGCAGTCAGCAGGTTGTTGAGGGCAACAGCCCATTGTTCCAGCTATTTCTCCATGTCATTATGTTTCAGGTAGCAAGTGACATCATGCTTGGCAAACAGACAGTACAAGCAGTGCTTTTAGTAAATCTCTAAATCAGCATTTGATAAATGATCTTTTCTACCTTATTCTATGTCTCTACCATGTGTGGTCTGGAGATGGAGCTCAGATTGTTAGACTTGGTGGCCAGTGCCTTTATTGACTCACCCTGATCCCCTGTATGCCCTATTAAAGATGAAATCAAATCCTGTCCTTGTAAGCAACGGAACTTGGGTATAGTTGGTTTTTTTTCACTCACTCTGTCCTGTAATTGTAGAATCTGTTTCACTTCATCGCACTGGTTAGCTATTTGATGGTAAACAATTATGTAGCCTATCTTCTAGTTTTGAGTTCTCTTCTTTCTCTCTTAGACTTTTCCTTTTAGCTAAATGATTCACTCCAGTCATCTTTTGATCACTTACTATTTTGTTTGTCTACTTTAGACTCTGTTTTGTGGTTACCATACCTCAGAGTTTGGTTATAACAAGCTGATCTGTATGACAGCAGTATAACATGACGAAAAGAAAACTACATTAAACAACAGACCCTTTCCAGGTCGCTCTTCCTCACTGAACTTTGAATGCTTCATTTCCTATCTTCCTATTTGACTTGTCTGCAATGGTTAATCTCAACCGTCAGCTTGATGAGATCTAGAATTACCTCAGAGATGAACTTCTGGGCAACTCTCTTGATTAGTTTAGTTGAAACAGGAAGACCTACTCACCATGGTGAGAGGGACAGACCCTGCCTGAGCTGAGATACTAGCCTGTACAAAAAAGGACAAAGTGAGCTGAGCCCAGGAATTGGTTGCTTCCTACTTTCTGCAGATACAATGTGACAAGCTACTTAAGCTCCCACTACTCTTAACTGTGAACCAAAATAAACTATTTCTAAAGTTACTTTTTTTCAGTGTATTTTTAATCACAACAATAGAAAAGTAAGACACTCTCATATGCCATTATTTTCTTTTCAGAAACACAGCTATGGCTGGGCAGTGGTGGTGCACGCCTTTAATCCCAGCACTTGGGAGGCAGAGGCAAGCGAATTTCTGAGTTCAAGGCCAGCCTGGTCTACAGAGTGAGTTCCAGGACAGCCAGGGATACACAGAGAAACCCTGTCTTGAAAAACGAAAGAAAGAAAGAAAGAAAGAAAGAAAGAAAGAAAGAAAGAAAGAAAGAAAGAAAGAAAGAAAGAAAGGAAGGGAAGGGAAGGAAGGGAAGGAAGGGAAGGAAGGGAAGGAA